TCCTCACTGTGACCTCGTCACATGTCCACGTTTGGTCATGGACTTTCCACGTCCACATATGACGTCCAAGGTACCCTGGGTGTGTTGGTTGTTGACGTTCTGGGACGCCGTGTCAACTTCAGCCTGTTACATGCATTGTCTGTTTTCAAAATACACTTCTGTTTTCACAGGAAATGTACAGTTTGATACAGTCTCTTTCAAAATAAAAGCACTACGTCGGTACAACACCGCAAATTCACGTTTTCTTTCCTTTGACAAATCACGCAATTACGTTTTACAATCATACAGGAAGTGAACACCAGCCTACCAGGTGAAAGTCAGTAGTTGTCCTGCCTGTCCTACTCGGACTTCCGCTGTCCTCACTTCCATTGTTGTCCGTTCCCCCTGACGCCACTGGGTGCCGTTAAACAATAAGAGTGATTGGCTGCGTATCATGTCGACATGAAAAGATGGCTTTCTTGGTCAGTGTTTGACGCCTGAAATCACTGACCAAGCGCTGGATATCAAGGACTTCAGAGGGTTGTCTTCACGCCCGTCTGTGCACTGGTCACATGACTGCAACATTCTCATGCATGAATTACTGGCTCATGATTAGGTTGGATATCTATGAATGTTGGTGTATAGAGTGTGACGGGGCTGACGTCAAAACCCGGAAGTTTAGCATCGCGCTGGAAAGTGAATGTGATTTTTGCACTGCGTTTTGGATTATGTCAGAAAATAAGCTCTGTGGCTAACACAAGTTTATGATACTTACAGGTTTTGTTCAGAGAGATAATCTTCACATATGAACACCTTTCATACCGCATTTGAAGCTTAAATGCGATCGCCAGAAGTAAAAAGCTAACGTTAGGCTTTAACGGACTACATGACTACTCCACGGTCACATGACTCTTGACGTCACCATCACTAAGCTTTCAACTGATTTCGGCTGCTTTATTTTGAAAACATTGTATAATGGGGAAATCGGACTGTTAAAGCTAAATAAGAAGCTGTAATGGAGGACTGCCAGCACTCTCGCCTGTTCAGGGGTGATGACGTTTAATGTCCCCGACAGGGTTTGTAGTCGTATTGAGCAACATGTTAGCAACCACCTTTTTTATGACACGTAAAAGCTTCAAAATTCACAAGTAGGGTATTTACTGACGTGTTTTATGTCGTAGAACAAAACCTGAAACTCGCTTAAGCTTTTGTTAAACACAGACCTTATTTGAGGCATTTTACCAAAATCCCATTCAAAAAACGTATTGACTTTTAGACGAGAGAACTGGACGTGCTAAAAGCGCTAACGGAGTTCCGGGTTTACTGGCACACTCTCTTACTTTTTGTAGGAAAACATTGTATGACACAGCCTGCACCAACCTCTGACCTTCTGAGCAGTGAGCTGATGTGGGCCTCCTCCAGCTGATGTGTAGTAACTTATGACAGTAATTGAGAACGAAGCTGCGTGTCTCCTCTAAACTCTGCCCGCCCTCTCTCTGAGACGTCGCTGCCCGTGGACATTCACAGTTTGATAACTTTCCTGATGAGTCCTCCTCGTCTGCAATCCTTAGGTCTGCTGTCTGCGCCCGAGCAACAACCTGCTCTCGAACAAAGAATGTTTATTTCCAGATTTGGCCTCAGAGGTTTCCTTAACGAGGCTAATTAACCGTCAAAGTTGCTGTTTCAGCCGATTTTTTTTTTTCCCGAGACGAGCGCGTGGTGAGAGAAAGCCTCAGAGAAACGCCTGAGCATCATGATTTTTCAGGCCCGGTCATCTGGGCTAATGTGAGAGGGGGATAAATGAGTCTAATTCGGGCCGAGGCCAATTAAAAACCCTGCAGCCCCGTCTGTGTTTGTATGTGATCACGCTGTGAATTCAGAGGTGTTGTTGGGCGCCAGGCAGGTCTTCTAAGGTATCCTCCGAGTCCACATGACAATTTTTCTTAAAGATGATGAAAAGGGCCAAAAAACACAACTGTGGATAAAAATACAACCTGCTGAAGAGAGAGGGGAGAAAAATACTCCTGTGAGCAGCACTTTATTCTCAGAGTTAAAGAAATGTCACAAGTACAAAATGCATTCAACAAACCAGAGCTCAGAGCTTCATTGTTGCAGCTTTGCATGTTTTAAAACATGAAGTATAATTCCTGCTGAGCCCAACACATCACCAGGCTGATTTCCTTCACCTCAGGCATCGACTGGTTTCAGTTTATGTCGAGGAAAATGAACTTGTGGGGATCTCAGCGGCGCTCACAACAGATTTGATTACAATGAGACATTAATAAAGATTTAGTATTCAAACAGGAACAATGGAGGGTCGTTAAAGCGCCTGACAGTGACGAGTTAAGCCCAGAACCCAAACCAATCAACAAACAAACACAATTAAAAAGCATTTTGGTTGAGCGGAGCGTTTGAAGGCATCACGAGAAAGTGTGGCGCTGCGTTCGCTGACTCACCAGAAAACCCTTGAAAAACATCCTTTTAATCCCCGACGTTTCCTCTCTGTGTCAGCAGGCTCTCTGCTCGTATCGATCACTTCATTCATCAAAGAACAAACACACTCGCACACAGACGGATACAGACGCACACACCCAGCCTTTGATTGGCTGAGAGGCGCTGATGTGTGACAACAAAGAGACCCAGAGGTTCCTAATGGTTCCCCCTGTTGCCGGGCGTGTTCCCATCATGCACCGCTGCTCATCTCAGAGGGTACTTCCGCTGGATTTCTTCAGCTCTCTGCCTAATGATGGCTGATTCTTCTTTGTTTGACTTCTTTGCTCTGCTGGTCTGCAGGTGGAAGCGTCTGTGGGCCTTTTGCAGCCTATTGATGTTGTGATAAAAAACATCTGGAGGTGATTTTAAGCAAGAATTTTCTGGCAATGAGCATCGAACAAGCAAATAGGGGACACACAGAGAACAGGATGTTTATGGTCAGAGCATAATAAACTAAATATAACACCCTGTGTTGCAGACACTTGTTGATCCTGTGCAGTGGTGGAAAAAGCACTCATATCTTTGCCTTAAGTAAAAGTAGAGCTACCACTCTGTGAGACTGCTCCGTTACACGTGCAACAATCAAGATTTCACTCACAGCTACAGTTCACAACTTCTCCAGACATAACGTTCTGTCATATTTAAGGCTGTCAAAATACCACATTAAAATAATTAACTCTGATTAATGGCGTCCCGTGGTGCCCTTTGACCTGGTGCGTCACTGAAGGCCACAGTGTCTTTGTCACATGACGGAGGCAGATGAGACGACGCTGCTCAGCCCCGTGAACGGAACATTTACATTTCAAAAACACCCAGATGGAGCTGTTGATAGGAGCAGCGTTCTCTGCAGGTTCTGCAGGAAGGAGTTTCCGTACCATCGGAGAACTTCAACCTGAAATATCACCTCAACACAAAGACTTTAGGTCTGAGCTAGCACAGCCTCTGATGCTAACGCTAACGCTAGCAGCCAGCCTCGTTAAGTCACACCTGACCAGGTGTTCAGACTGAGTCAGTCTACCTGTGACCGACTCACTGACTCCCTAATGTCCTCTATACACTGTGTGATTTTATCAGTCTTATCAGACCACTGCATGACACACTGTGACACGTGGATCTAATAAACTTTGGGACGACGTCAAGTTTGATGTGTGCAGATTGTGCGATGGCCGTTTACTACTGAATCGCAGGTTACGACGTACGTCAATATGCAAAGTCATCAGCGTACGTCATCCATCTGCACCACCATAGGTAGCCTGCTCACCTGGAAGTTGCAGTTCCTCCGCAGTTTCCTTCCATGCAGCGTCTTTTTCTGGCGGTCATGATAGCAGGAACAAGAAAATGGGCATTCACCCAGGACTTTCCCCTGGAGTGATGTGTTCAGTTCTGTGTGAACTTAGTCATTTTGTACGTTCTCACCATGTTTCTTTTCCTAAATGTAACCTCTGTAACTTTACATTAATCACGTAACTGTACAGTGAGGGTGTAACGTCATTCGTTGGAAACAAATTTGTAAGATGTTGTACAAACGGTTGTGCACGCATTTTTCATAGGATATCTTGGGACCCATTGTTTAGGAATACGCTGAAAACTCATACCCCTCCTCCTCACAGTGCTTCTACTGGCATTAACTAGGATCTACCACACACAAGCAACAACAACCAATCAGAGTCGAGGAATCATCAAGTCAGGCAGCGCAGATCAAATCAAAACATCTTGTGTTACAGCCCAGCTCGTAAGGCAAAAGAGAAGCAACATAAAACTAGATGTTATTGGTAAATAAAGATATTTCTTTGGACATGTGACAGGATGTGAGGCACACTGCAGAGGACAAAGGACGCGTTGGTGCTGCTCAACTCAAAGAAAGAAAGTCAACCAAAAGGCTCAGACACAGACCTCAGAGAAGCTGCCTCACGTCACGTGTGTCTCAGACAAAACGCTGCACATCAACGCACAGTGAGCGTCTTGATGCTAGTAAGTCAGTTAGCACATGAACAACACAATCAGAGCATATTTACTGTACGGGGGGGTGTTCATATGGGCTCTTCTCATGAACACAGTGAACACAACTCAGTTGGAACGCAGCAGTAAACCTAGAGCAGAGGTTAAACACAGTGTCTGTAACACTCTCCTCACATGTTCTCAGATACATATTAGTGACTGTTTCACTTGTAAAGTGAGACGGTGTGTGACCAGACGCCATGTTGGAAACAGTCGAGCCCCACTGTGTGACTCTTTTTCGGAGCACGTTGTCCTCCAGCAGAGCAGAATAAAATAACACGAGCAGATGTGATGTAACAAACATGATGACGTCCTCGACTTTGGACTCACTGGCGCTGTCTGTTTCCTCGAAGATCAGCGGCGCCGAGATCAAAATTGAACTCTGAATGAGAGCTTTTTATTTTGGTCCAACATTTTGTTGTAATAAATTCTGGTGGGCCTGAATCCAAAGAGTGGAAATGATTGATTACTGAATTTAATGCTGCGTCTCCTCCAAACACTCCAAACAGATACCTGCAGGATATGTGGAACACTGGATCATGTACAAACAAACACAAACACGTGTTTACTTTGGCGTCTCTTGGTTTGTTGTTTTTGTTGTTTTCACATCAGAAACAGTTTGAAAATATTGATTAGACCTATTAGTAATGGCTCAAAAGGCTCAAATATATTTTGCAGATTTCACTGTCAATGTTGCTCTCTACACCTGTGAATAAACTGCAAAACAGTCAGGCACAAAAAAATGTGAACAAGCACGAATGAGACCGACACAAGTTGCTCTGAATCAGCTGACAGAAGCAACGACTCGTCAACACTGATCTATTTTTATTCCCTGTAACGTATCATCTCACCGCTCATCACTACATGTCCTCCTCTTCCTCCCTGCAGGTGGACCGCGTGTCCGTCACAGCAGAGGGCGGCGCCGGTGGGCGGCCCGCCAACAGGCCCGGGGGCGGAGCCATGCGCATCCACCGCCACTTCCCCTACCCGGCCAATCAGATGTACGTGGTGGTTCTGCACCGCGAGCTGAAGCCGATGAGAGTTTACCGGCTGAACATGAGCTTCGACGCCGCCATCGAGGACGAGCTGCTGGGCTTCTTCAGGAGCTCGTACACCCTGCAGAGAGAGAGACGGTACGTGCACACACACACACACACACACACACACACACACACACACTGAAACACTCATTTTTCCTGCAGCAGCAGGTGGTTCAACTAGAAAAGGTCAGAGCTTCACATCCACGACATTGATTAACTCAAACACACTGCTGACGGTGTGTGTGTGTGTGTGTGTTCCACTTATCAAACCACACACACATACACACACACACACACACAACACTCACTCCCTCCTTATGAATTTCCCATAAGCCTCTGCTGCAGAGTTGTTTCCACATCAGATTTCTTCCCCACGGTGCTGATGGGAAACAGACTGTGTGCTGATACATTTATTATTTCATGCAGGACGTTTCTGTCTGTGTGGCCTCCAACTGTGTGACTGTGTTTGTGTGTGTGTGTGTGTGTGTGTGTGTGTGTGTGTCAATGCGCGACAGAGCATTTTATCAGAGTCTGTTCCACTTATTGCAGAAACACAAAGTTGTAATTAATTGATGAAATCAGAGCGTCTCACTTGTGTTTGGAGACGTGAAGTCACGACCATATATGGACTCTGTCAGGCTCAAACTTTAAAGGTTGGTCCAGTCAGCTGTCTGGATTACACCGTGGGTATTTACTCCTAACTGATGGGCTGGAGTCATGGTGGGCCACGTCCACTGCCCTGATACAAGTATGATTTCTGAAATGTTTCAGATGTCACGGTAAACGAAATGTGACTCAAACTGTGAGAGTGGATTCAGAGAAATGGAGGAAGGTGTGACACCAAGGGGAGACGCTGCCAGGCTGCAGAGCACTGTTCAAGACCAGCAGGCAACAGCTGGTTGTTTGTTAGTGCGACATCGCAGCATTTCCAGCAGCCTTTTAGCCAGTGTGAGTGAGTGTATTTCGTGACCCATCACCATGTTTCCAGATGGGATTGTGCCACTAAAACTGTTTTTGTGCCTAAACAACCGCATGTTAACATGTTCAACATATCCGCTTCATAACAACGTGCACATGTAAAGCGTCCATGGTTTGTAGCACCTCAGTCTCACTCTGAAGTCGTCAAAAATATTGGTGTTTGGGCAGCGACGTCTGGCGTCAGACACAGACGGGAACAGCCATCCTCTGACATCAGCATGATGCAGGCAGGAAATGCTGCCGGACAACAACATCAGTAAAACAGACATCGACAACAAAAGCTTTCATGACGGCTAATACACAGTCGGTCGCCACAATTATGGTGACGTGGTTCTGTTTTGCGGAGCGTTAACTTTTCATCCAAGAGCTGATTTCAATATTTAAGACTGGCTCGTACTCGTTAGCTTCATTGGTGAGGTTTAGGCAGGAGGAGCAAGATTGGTTCAGGTGTGGTAAGAATATCAGAGCAAGCCAACCAGAACTTAGGATTCACAAATTCACGGTCTCAGCTGTTTGGCTCATGTTAACCTTGGCCACTCTGCACTGAGCGCCACCCGAGTCAGGTGCTAGCGATGGCGCTCATTCAACAATTAATGCTGGTGACACCACCCCAACCCCTGGTGGCAGGACGGTGTAGCTGAAGGAACAGAGCAAAAAACAAGGTGACATATTCATTGCACTAAGCCCCATGTGTTTGCTGACCAGTGGGGCTAACTGATATATTATGCTTTTGTTGTATCCCGTTGGCAAAATGGCAAAAACGTCCTTCCTGGAAGTGAAGGCTTCTAGGGCAGTCTTCTGTTCCTCTCTCAAGGAGAAAGATAAGTGTAGTTGGCTCAGTGTTTCTTCCAAAGCTAAACTGAATGGACGCGGTCCTTCAACAGCTGCCATCTTGGCTGTTTACTTTTCGACTCCCACGGCGCAGCGCTGTCCTCATCATGTTACGCCCACCCAGAGCCCGCCTCTGTCAAATAGACTGATCTGATTGGTCCATGGTGATTCAGCAGGCTCTGCTCGTCAGGGTCAGATCCCCCTGCAGAGCAAATTAGAATTTGTTAGGAGTGGGGCATCTGGATTTCCAGGTTAAGTGTTTGCCTCTTTATTAGGAAATAAGTGTGTTCATCATACTGATAGAGTCAATTAAACATGTATTCATAACACACTGTACAGGCCCAGTTGAATATTTAATAAGGATGTGTGGTCGTACATCACTTTACTGTAATGAAGCCTTTAAATGAGGGGAAAAACAATGATATCCAAAATGTCAGACGATATACAGTCTCATATCTCCATAACAATGTAATGTCTTCATATTGTCCAGACCTGGTTGGAATTAGTGCACCATAAAAGAACAACAAAGTGTACTACGCTGAAGTGTACTAACAGAAGTGTGTAAACCTACAGACAGACTGTGCAGTAACACAGTAATAATTAACTCTTAACATCCCTGGACTTTATTATTTCTGTTTTTAAAAGTCACCTCATGGTCATATTAAAATCATTACCTGTGTCTGTGTATTTTTACATGTGATGTCACACGTCTTCTTTTCTCCTCTCTGACATGTAAAGTGCGAGCAGAGTCTGTGGCTGATGTGCACTTTAAATAAAGTGAAGTTAGAGTCAGAGAGCGATAATGTGACGGATCGATGAGCAGAGCAGAACACTCTCCGCAGCAGCTGATACACTGATAACAACAAACACAACACTACAGGCATTTAAACCGAGCGGAGCGCATCAGGTGGAACTGACACAGCTCTGACATGAAGGGAAATATGCAAACAGAAGTTTGTGCCTTGATCCGGACGTCGAGTGTGACATTAGAAATAGAGTTTTTATGCTTCTGATGGATTGAGTTTAGAGCTGATGTTGTGACATTATGAGCTGTAACACGCCAAGGTCAGGTCTCAAAAGTCTCGACTTTAAAATGATACTGAGATAAATCTGTGCACAGATTCACACTTCCTTTAAAGGGATAGTGCACCCAAAAATGTAACTTCAGCCATTATCTACTCACCCATATGTCGAGGGAGGCTCAGGTGAAGTTTTAGAGTCCTCACATCACTTGCAGAGATCCAAGGGGAGAGGAGGTAGCAACACAACTCCACCTAATGGAGGCTGACGGCGCCCCAGATTCAAACGTCCAAAAACACATAAATGAAACCACAAAATATCTCCATACTGCTCGTCCGTAGTGATCCAAGTGTCCTGAAGCCCCGACATAAAAAGTTGTTTGGAAAAACCTCATTTGAACTCTGTTTTTAGCCTCATTGTAGCCTGTAGCTCTGACTGCCTCTCTGGGCACCACGCTCACGTGTGTGCGCTTGACGTTTTTCCAAACAACTTTTTATGTCGGGGCTTCAGGACACTTGGATCACTACGGACGAGCAGTATGGAGATATTTTGTGGTTTCAATGATGTGTTTTTGGATGTTTGAATCTGGGGCGCCGTCAGCCTCCATTAGGTCTATCTATGAAACGAGACAGTGATATCTTATTTAAAATGACTCCATGTTTTTTCACTAATATTAATGTAGCTCTGCTGCCTCATTGGCTTCTTCATCGGCGTCCTCACACTCACATCAGTCTTTGTTATTTCTGACATTAATGGGCGTTTCCCTCCCTGCGTTAATGTTTCCAGCTGCAGATTGGATCAGCTGCACAAGAAAGATGTGACTCAGTGTTTAATACGTCTGCAGTGTGACATGAGCCATTATCACGCAGGAGGGTAAATAACAGAGAGAGGACACTTTAGACACACGCGTGTTGGCTGTGATCCCTCAGTGATCAGGTTCAGTGTGTGTGTGTGCTGTCACCACCAGCAGCTCCCATGTTCACTGGGAGCTGCTGGTTGGATCAATACTGGATCGATGGAGCAGCTGATGGACCAGCAGAGCTCCATCACAACACAACAACCTGCTAGTTAAAGTTTAATGGTGCGGCCCACACAAACCTGCTGACAGCTGGATCTGGGCTCTAAACTGATTCTTCACACGTCACCTGACAGAGAGTGAGCGAAGGTATCAGAATAAAACTCATCACTGGTGTTTTAGTGTGTGAGTGTGTGCACGAGAGAGACTGAAGCAGGACAGTGCAGCTGTGAGAGCACGTTGAACCACTGTAAGAAATAAACACGGTTTGTCTCCAGACGTGTTGTCAGAGCAGATGACACATGACTAACAGCTTTACAGGTGCCAGTCTCACTACATGAATATGTTCATGTGATGACTCAGCAGCTGATAAACACGTAGTAAACATCACAGCTGGTTGTTCCTAAAAAAATTAATGATTTAATTCATTAAAAAAAAGCTTCAAAATATCCGACTGACTCGACGCTGCTCAGAGACTGCTACTGCTGTGTGTGTGTGTGTGTGCAGAGCTCAGTGTTAGCTTAAGGATTAGCCAGATGTAGCTGTGTGGCTAATGCTAACACACACACACACACACACACACACACACACACACACACACGGGTCCACTGTGAGATTTGTTTAATATCCACAGTTAGTAAAAACCTCAGGCTGGGTTTAAATGCTTAACTGCTGGGAGGAGAATTAATTAACACACACACACACACACACACACACACACTGTTTAAGCTCAGTTATGATCTTTATGCAAACGATGTAAAGCTGAGCTGGATGTTGCTGGTTGTGGTCGTCTCCCAGTGAAACCAGTCTGAGATGCTTCAGAGAAACGTCATCACCTGTATCTGTGTTACATTAATAATAAAGAAATAATTATGCCTTTTAAATAAATTCTGAAATAAATACGAGTGAATAAATGTAAACGGGCGGCACGGTGGTGTGGTGGTTAGCACTGTTGCCTCACAGCAAGAGGGTTGCCGGTTTGATCCCGGGTGTGGGAGCCCTTCTGTGTGGAGTTTGCATGTTCTCCCTAAATTGTCCGTAGGTGTGAATGTGAGTGTGAATGGTTGTTTGTCTCTATGTGTCAGCCCTGTGATAGTCTGGTGACCTGTCCAGGGTGAACCCTGCCTCTCGCCTGATGTCAGCTGGGATAGGCTCCACCCCCCGCGACCCTCAAGAGGATGAAGTGGTTAGAAGACGAATGAATAAATGAAAATATAAAAATATAAATGAGTTGGTATAGTTCAGTAAA